AGGTTGAGTAACAACAGTTAAAAATGTCCCTCTTCAAGTTTTGTTCAACCATAAAATGGAATATGAAACTTATGACAAACCATAAAAAAGTACCTACATGTTTATGTTGTATACAATATTTGCCACCATACATTAACTGGTTGTTGTTGAACATCAGTCACTAAAAAGAGAGAAACAGTCGTTCACTATCAGTTGTTGTGATAGCAGTTGCCGTGGCGACAATAGAAGTGTTGGGGTATCAGCTGATCTGACAGCTGATTGGGTCAGAGCGGTTGATGATGTCATCACTATGTGAGGAGAGATCGCGGCGACAGGAAGCTGCGGGGGGGACGTCCCGGGTGGATGGGTGTGTGTGTGTCAGTCTGTAAGTGTGTGTGTGTGTGTGTGTGTGTGTGTGTGTGTGTGTGTGTGTGTGTGTGTGTGTGTGTGTGTGTGTGTGTGTGTGTGTGTGTGTGAACATGAAAATCAGTTTATCGTCACAAGGGGCCTAACAACACACATATAGGCAAAAGACCCCACAACCTATGCTACACAGGAACACCACACACACACTTTTTGTTGCTGTTTTTCCCTTTTCATACAGTAGTGTGTGTGAGTGAGTACGTAGCAGGTTTAGTGTGTGTGTGTGTGTGTGTGTGTGTGTGTGTGTGTGTGTGTGTGTGTGTGTGTGTGTGTGTGTGTGTGTGTGTGTGTGTGTGTGTGTGTGTGTGTGTGTGTGAGAAACTCTCTGATCTGCATCCAAAACAAACAGGCCTGAGGGGAGAGAGGAGACACGCTGCACTGACCGCACCGCCCGATACACACACACACACACACACACACACACACAGTGATGTTGCGATCTGGAGGTCCTCCATGTTTTCAGCTCTAAAGTTCTGCAGGTTTAGTTGTGTGTGTGTGTGTGTGTGTGTGTGTGTGTGTGTGTGTGTGACTGTGACTGAGACTGAGTTCTGTCATGATTTCCATTTAAAGGGACATTCCACAGATTTTCCACATGAAAAAATCAGTTTATCGTCACAAGGGGCCTAACAACACACATATAGGCAAAAGACCCCACAACCTATGCTACACAGGAACAACACACACACACTTTTTGTTGCTGTTTTTCCCCTTTTCATACAGTACATGTTGTGAGTGATTTTGCAGTTATTTGGACTATAATTCGTGTCATTTTGTGTCTCTGCGGTTGTTGATGTTTATTTCTCATCGTGGTCGTTAGTCTCTCTGCATTTGTTTAGCAACTATAGTTGTTGTATTAGGCATTTTGTTTGTCTCTTTATGTCTGTTTTTAGTCATTTAGAGTTTCTTGTTGTTGTTTTTCTGTTTGCATAGTCAGTGATAAACTGTGTTCCTCTTTGTGGGTACATCGAACCTTTCTGTAGTGTATTTGGTCTATTTGTAGATTTGTGTCTCTATTTGCTTGTTTTTCTACTTTAAATATAAAATATGAGTCTCTGTTGTTGCATGTCTTTGTGGTTGTCTCGGCCCAGTTGTAGTATTTTAGTTTCTGTGTCATTACTTTGAGTGTGTGTGTCTCTTTGAGTGACATGTTGTGTCTGAAGCTCGGGGCCAGTAATCCATCCTCACTTCTTCTGTGGCTTTGGGCGAAGTTTGTCAAGTTTGAGACAATAACGCTGACGACGAGGACCCCGGGGTCATCTCAGTTTGAATCGTAAACAAAGAGGCTAACGTTCCTCTGGAAGTTCAAGACCGTTTTACCGAGACAAACACAATTAGATGTAATAGTTAAATGAAAACAAACAACAACTTTATAAAGAGTGTGGATCCTTGACTATAGTGAAAAAGCCAGTTGTAATGTGGCTTATTTTACAGATTCTAGACCGTTTCAGATTTGTATTTTGTTTAAGGTTGAATTATTTTGCTGACACCAATAGTGTTTTTGCTCCTCCTACATATATTGTTTTCTCTGCAGATTTCCACAAATTGAAAGCTCTTTCTGTCTTGTTCAGACATGTTTGTTATAAAACATTTCTCCTCTATTTTTTACAAGTAATAAGACGGTATTCTGTTCACAATCCGGACTAGTTTTAGGTGGTGTCTTATCTAATTTGTAGCTGGTTTTAGGTGTTATCCTTGTCAGAATTGTAGCTGGTTTTAAAAGGCATATTCAACACATTCTACACAGTTTCAAAGTTGTATTTCTGTCTAAATTTGGACTGGTTTGAGGCGGTATTTTGATCAGAATTTGGACGGGTTTAATGTGGGTATTTTTGGGAGATTCTGGACTGGTTTGAGGTAATAATCGTTGCTAACTCTTCCGCTGCCACTGACTGCGTTTGTGTTCCTCCAGCTGGAAAACAGTAAAGAAAAATATAAAATCAATGTTTTCTACTCGGCAGATTTCCACAAACTGAAAGCTCTTTCTGTCTTTTTCCTGCGTTTTCATTATAAAAGAACACTTCCTGCTCTTCCTCCTCCTCCTCCTCTTCCTTTTTCCCATTAGCACAAAGTGAATTAGCGGAGATGAGTCAGCCAATCAGCTGTGGCATTCAGAGGGAACGGAGCCATTATTGGCTAATGAGACGACGGGGAATTGAAGCTTTTATTCTAATAACAGTAATGTCTGTTTGTAACCGAGCCGCCTGCACCTGCTTCTCTCTTCTTCCAAACCACATTTTCTGCTTTTTCTTTTCTCCTCTCCATCCGGCAGCGACCGGGGAATGATGCTCGCAGCCAGAGAGGGAAATTAATCTGTTGATTTAGATTCATATAGATGATTATTAGTAGCAGACGCCTGCACCTGTTTCCCTCTCTGGCTCGGAGAGGAACCAAAGCTCGCTGAAGTGAGGCGGTGTTCAGTTAGCTGCTTTCCCCCAAAGACGTGATCATCGGTTGTTTTTAATTTCATTGTGAGGTCGCACCTGTGCCTCTCACCTGTGGAGAGAACAGTTTACAGCTTTGTACAACCACCTGCAAAAAACAGATTGTGAGGTGGAGAAATGATTTGGTTTCGGGCTCAAAGTTTGATTTCTTCACTACGAAAATCAAGGAAACTTAAATGCATAATCAACTGAAGATGTTTTCAGTTCCTCTGGAGAAAATCTGTATCTGGGTTCCCCATTTGACCCTCATTAAGTTCCTGTTCTTATCCATCACTTGGAAAATACATCAGATATTTGTATAGTATCCTGTTGCTAGACCATCTATCTGCAGGAAAAAGGTGACTCGACACATTTTTCATTTGTTTTGAACTTCTTTAATTAGCTTCCTTCTGCAGTGTATTTATGTCTCTTACATTTAAAGAGCTTCTTTTAGGTTTTTTGAATCCAGCTTTTAATATGTTGATGTATTTAATGACATCACTTCGAATAAAATCATTGAACTGAATAACGACATTTAACCGAGTAAGATAAGAGATAAGAGATACTTTATTGATTCCAAATTGGGAAAGGTTTGCGTTGCAGCAGCAAAAAAAACACAAAAGAAAACAGGGTATTGCACAAATAGTAAATGCAGTAGTAAATTAATCAGTATGATTTAAAGGTCCCGTGTCATGGCCATTTCTACTGATCATAATTCCATTGTTGAGGTCTACTAGAATAGATTTACATTGTTCAATGTTCCAAACTCACATTGGTTTCTCATACAGCATCTCTGTATAGTATGTGCATTCACTCTCTGTCCTACACGGCTTGTTGGAGCTCCGCCCCCTCCCTGTGAGCCCAGTGTGCTCTGATTGGTCGGCTCGCTGCTGCGAGGAGCGGACAGGTTTCCGGGTCGGCGATACAGCGAGAACAAGCGAAACGCATCCTGAGCACACACACACTCACAGCCGAAGTAAAAACAATAAGTGTGGCTTGATATTGAGTCAGAAAAAGGTTTGTAACGCTGGTAGAATGGGTCTGCAGAGAGCATTTCTCCACCATCCCAACTCGTCTATTACCAGCGTTCAGGGAGCTCTATTCAAGTCAATGGGACTCCCTGTTAGTTAGCCAAGGGGTCCTGGTGTGTGAGGGGCTCCGCGGATTGGTCCATTTGGGCCAACCCGGTCATTTGTTGTTGATTTGGGTGTTTCACACGTCACAGAACCCAGGAACAAACAATGAAAAAGAGAAATGTCCAACGAGGCGTTCTGGGGCAGCATAGACAGGTCTTCTCTGTGTTAGAGTTTTACTCGCTACAGGGTTTACTTTGAGGGTTTTTGACCCGTTTACATGCAGAAAAACCTTCATAACACACAAGGGGACGGGTAATAACCGGAAAAGCATGACATGGGACTTAAGTTTTGTTTTGTTTTGTCATAATGGTACTTTACTTGAGTATTTCTATTATATGCTTCATTAAACTTTCACTCCACTACATAAATACACATTAGCCTTTTTATATGATATTTATAAGTATCCAAAATTGCCTCAAATTGAAAAAATTGAAATTGCCTCAAATTGACACATTTAAATTCTCTTACATGTATTTGTAAGCAATGAACAAGATAATATAATATCCCTAAAAATATAATACTTTGAAAAGACCCAACTGTGCATAATCGGTAGCTTCTGTAATACTTTAAGTATATTTGGTCGATCATAATTCTGCACTTCAATGATATTTAGAAAACTACCGGTGTTCCAAAGTCTACCCTCAACCTCCAGGCTTGACCGTCACGTCCGGTAAAGGTAGGAAGAGAGTGAGGAGTTCTCGGACCAGCGAGACACACCCAACCCACAACAGCTGGAAACCCCTCTTATACCAAACAGGCGGGTCCGAGCAACCTCCATACCCCTAACAGTCGCCCAACCGTCTCTGAAAGAAGAGGTATGAAGAGGACATAACCAACCGGAGGTTACGACCTCTTCGGACCAACAAAGCGCTCACACCACTCCTACCGGCCGGGCGGGGGGTGGTATTAAGTGTACCCGGAGGTGGGTTTTAGTAAAAAGAGCAAGGCCACGTCGTTAAGTCGTCGCGAGAGCACCACGAAGAGCAGTGAGCACGGGACACAGTTTTTACAGCGACATCCTGTCCTTAGACCGCACGATTAGACGACTTTGTACACACTTACAAGGCAGCGGTGCTACAACTCCGCCAAGATCACCGTCGTCACCCCGGGAACCGCCCACTACGTCAGTGACCGTCCGGAGGACCGCCGGCATGTTCTGGCCCTCGTCACCGACGGGACCGAAACCCGTAACTTATCCGCTAAACAGTAAAAAGTACCCGCGTGCGGTGTATGCACGAGACTACGAAGTAAGGTGGCGCCTACGTACAAGGGAAGGGGGTTTACGACCGTGGTAAACTTTCCGATCTTGAAGGGTGCGGGATGCGTAGGGGCAAGCGTTGCCCATATCTAAATCCGGTTCTCGTAACAATGGTTGTTTCTTATTCCACGTCGGTCGACATCGGTCACGGCTAGAAAGGTCCACAGAGGGGGAGGAGGGTTGTTCTTCTCAATTTAGACTTAGTATAGAGAGGTAGACAGAGGGAACTTCAAGTGTACCACCCTTTTATTTGTCTAAAAAAAGGCAAGAAGTTAGGTAATGAAAACACCACATTGTTTAGTCCCAAACAACAAAGGTAAGTTTTACTCACGAAGGTAAGTTTTACTCTCGGATTGAGATAACCACAAATAAAGAAAATCGGGCCGTTTCCGGTTGAAGATTGGACATTGTGGGTCCCTTCGAACCGAACTCGGTCGCCCTCACGACCAGTGACACAATAGTGTCAGCTAACGTACAAAGTGGTTAAACATTAAGTGTCGGTTGTGACTAGTTGTCAAGACTACCCGAGGGCACCTACAGTGTACCCAAGTCGACCGGACCGTCTTTGTACATAATTTGTGGCCGAATACGACCACCTCTACCTACCTCTGCGTATTATGTGTGTTTATCAGTAAGTTTTACAAGTAATCAGTGTAGTTTATCTGTCCAATCTCAACTTATTTGTTCTCAATACGATATACATAGTATTAAATTAAGCCCAGTCGCAAAAGTGAAAAAACGTGGGTTTTTGAAATACCAACGGTTAAATTGTTAAACTCCACTAAACCGGCTCTCTACGACCTTTATGCCGAACCGAACTTTAAGTACAAAGGAAACTGGCCGTCCATGTGGTGTCGTTTCAAAACTAACTGAATGAGTAACTTCATAGCAACCAATGTCTGTATCTTGACCTGAAGGAATCGAAATCTCGAGCAACTTGATAAGTGACGGTCACGAGGGATAAAAAACTCAGTAGTGAGTGAAAGGGAACTTACGAAGCTAGAACGACTGGGGTCCACCACTAAGGCGAGGTGCAGGGGACGGGTCCCACATGTAGAAGGTAGGTCTACGCGACACTCTACACCCTGAAACTCTGTAGATACGCAATCAACCGGAAGGGACGTGTAAACTCATTCGTCCAAACGAGACAAAATACGACATAGAATCAATAGTGAATTCAGGACGAAAGTCCACTAGGGACATGAGGAACTCTTCCCGGACATGTGCCGAAGACAGAGCTGGAAAAACGTCACCTTCCAAACACTAAAGAAGAGGAGAAAAAAAGGAGAAAACAACATTGTGAGAAGAAAGTTATACTTTGTTGCGGGTGCACAAAACTAGCAATTGTGTCCTCGTTCTTGACGGTGCAGTACTGCCACTGTCACCATGAACAAGGAGTGCATGGGGGAGAGGGATGTTGCGGGTCTGACAACCACTGCACAAGGAGGGGATACAATCAATGGGTGGTTCGTGGGGCATGCTGCTGTCAGGTAAGTGGCTGAGAGCTAAATGAAAGTCATGTACCGTGATATTTATGAAACCGAATTTTATGAGAAGATAATGAT